GAGATAAACATCCTGTCTGGTTAAAGCCAGCTATTAGTCACTAGGAAACCTTGTGTCACATGTTACTAACTTTTCAAAAGTATAAATAAAATACCTTTGTTCTACTTGCATGTGTCTTGGCCCATATTGTTTCACCAGGATGAATTTCTGGAGTCTGGATCACATAGTACTCATTTTGATCTGCATTCTAGACTACTGTAGAACGGTGGGGCCAATTGACATTTCATTGTACTGCATGCATACGCGCATTTACCTTGCCCAAAGTTGCACTCTTGTTCTTAACATTTTTCTTCTTTTTTCCTTAGTTGAGTCTGCTTTATACCTGCAGACCTTCCCCAAGGCAGTTCAGAGCATCCAATTCTAATTTCTTCTTCCTGCTGGTGTTGTTGATTGGGCTGTGTTTGGCAATTATTCCTCTGACCATCAGCATGTCCAGGTAAATAGGACCTGTGTTTTCTAGAACGCCATCTTGCTCTGTGGCATGTTCCTCTTTTGTGTTCAAGGGAGTGTACATTCCTCTTTGGCTTTTTCTCTACGTGCTGCACCTGCAGAGGTCAGAGTGCCCCTAGATTTAGCTAGACCCACCTTTGCAGCGTTTCCTTCTGGAAGCTGGATGCCTTGGTCCACTTCTGGAAGTTGGGACTGCAGGGTGGTTGTGGACTTCATGGGGGCCGGATGGCTAGTCCAACCTCATTCTCTTTTCTGAGGATCCTTCTCATTCTAGTCTTCTTTTGGGCTGTTTCTTTCTTTATGTATTTGGTACAGGATCTCAATATGCAGCTCAGACTCTTAATGATCTTCCTGTTTTGAGTCTCCCCAGAGTTGGGATTACAGGCTTGTGCCACCATGCCAGGTCTCAGTGACCAGATCGGTATGCCTGGCGGTGGGGCCAGCGCTGCACATGGTGCGGCTATCAAACCCCAGCCCCTGCGCTTGCCTAAGCAGGCGCTTAGTCCACTGAGCTATGTCGCAGCCTTTGGGGTTGTTTCTTTATGTTATTATTTTTTAAAATTTATTTATTTATTTAG